ATCACTCAAACTATAAAAAGTAGTACAATTTGGATGGCTGCCTTTTTATGTCATAAAAGACAAATTCCTACAAAGTGCACACTAAAACTCTAAATAGGAGGTAGCATTCGACCAAGACAAAGACAAAGACAGAACAGATACCAAGTCCACTACAAGCCCAGTCCAGTCCAAACATTAACACTGCACGCCTACAAACCTAAGTAGCTATTATGAGCTACGTCCTCAAACGGTGTGGGCCTCTTGGAGGGCTCCAGAGTTTTGTACAGCAGTGCATCTTCCACGGCGCTAGCCATGAACAAGAGCCCTATGGCCCAAAAGGACAAAAAAGACAAAGAAACAGAAGGAGTGTGGGAGGGGAGTGATGGAGTGGTGAAATGGTGAGGGAGGAAAAAAAGGGGGAAGAACAAGAAAGGGGGAAGGTTGCAGGTGAGATAGGTTGTGATTGGTTGGTGCTTTGTTTTCGTGGAGCGGCAACGGTTTCTTCTGCAGAACCGCTGTGTTTCTGGTGGATGGATGACACGTCTGGCTCAGACTGGGTTCGGTACTCTACAAATGTTGACATTTCTTTCGTGCCTTCAAATGAGGGTGGAAGTTGGAATGATGACATTATCGGTGTAGTGGTGTTAGAAACAATCTTTTCCTTGTTTTCTCAAAAAGAGGCATCATAAGAATTCATCTCCGGCCCCAGTTAGCTCAAGACATGTTGGTCAAGCCCACCCACTGTGAGAAAGCGCTCACAAAACAAGAGTGAGTCACATTTAGGGTTTTATGAGTCATACGCTGAAAGGCTCAGCCAGAAATAATCCCCAGGGAATGAGAGTGACACTAAAAGAAGTTTCCCCTCCAGCAGCTACTGTTCCCGTGTTACAGTCTGAGCCGTGGTGTCATCCTCCCCCCGGCCCTCTCTCTCTCTCCTGTGCACAGGCAGCAGTGAGCAGGGAGGGCGAGTCCTACCCAGGTAACTGTGGTTAGGCACAGGGATGAGCCTGGCATTATGCTCTTTGTGATCTGCCACCTCGTACGGGCCGTCGTCATAGAAACCAAGCTCCAACAGAGTCTGGTTCAGGAGCTGGACTTGCATCTCACCTGGAAAGGAAACAGGTGAAGGCACAGCAAGGCAACAACAATAACTGGCGCTTCATATCAGAGGTTTTACCATAAAACTGAACTCATTGCATCAGTGGTGAGGCCATGTGTTTAATTGATTAGTGCAAATTTGCTTTGTGTGAGCCTTATGTTCAACATCACACTCAAAAGTTGACCCCTGTTCAGAATACAGTAGTTCCTCGTTTATTGTAGGGGATCTGTACCCTGAAGCCCCGCGATAAGAGAAAAAATGCAAATTAGGAATAGTAGTAGTAAGTAGTAGTTTATTTTAGTGTATATATATATACATATATTATA